CTGTAAATATCTCTGTTCTGCTTCCGTTTCAGGGGATTGTTCCAACCTTCTGCAGCCATTTTGGCTGCTTCTCTTGTAGCCGGCAAAAAGAGCTTTCTCCTGGATCGATCAGGAACTTTGCGATGTCCCTGAGATCAGCAGGACATGCTCTTCTCTATCACTATTCCTTCAGAACGGTTTAAATCCACAAAGGACCGTCCAGCAACAGAGATATTTACAGCAATTCTGGAGCCCCAAGATTGCATGTCGTGTTGTCGCGATGTCAAGCCCCGCCTTTCCCAAATAATTTGTATTATGTCGGAGTCCTGGGGATCCCGCCTGGAGAGGAACACATGTGCTGTAGTACCCACACTCAGTTTGCTAATTCTTGGTTTATGTGGCTCTCAAATGTTTTTGATGGGGATATGATCATCCAGATACATCAGGAAGACTAGGACCTGCACATATGCCAAGAAGAATGTACTTCTGAACTGTATTTTTTTTCATTTAGCAGGTGCATTAATTCTAAGGAATCCCTGATTGAGGAAGCTACAGAAATACAAGATCAAGGATCGATTCAGGTTTGGTGGCACTTTTCCCCCCACCAGTGATGACAACGGAGAAGAACAAGGATTTCTAGGGAAAATACAAGTGGATCACTTATTGGGCATGTTAAGGATTCCTGAGTCCCCAAACATGAAGGTGTTGTGTACCTGATCATAAGGCATGAAAAGAATTATAAAGAAAAGATTTTTGGCATCTTCCTTCTGCTTTATGGCTTTCTTTTTTCTCCTGATCACTTTCCAGGTACCAAAGATACTTGGGGTGGAGCTGGGAATATATTCAGAAATGCCCCAAAGAGAGGAAGGAATAGCTATGTAACATAAAATTGTAGGAGAGATAATGGGGACACTGCTATATCAACTTTGGGGTTCAGCCTAGTGATAGGGGTTTAATTATATACTCAATGTTTTCAAATCTCTGTTCTTTTCTATTGCTGGGTTTTCACCAATAGATAATATAGATAGTCCTTGATTTATAACCATTTATTTAGTGGCTGTTTGAAAGCACTGAAAAAAGTGACTTATGACCATTTTTCACGCTTACGACTGTTGCAATGTCCCCATGGTCATATGATCAAAAATTGGATGCTTAGCAACTGGTTCATATTTATGATGGTTGCAGTGTTCCAGGATCATGTCATCACCTTTTGCGAACTTCTGACATGCAACGTCAATTGGGAAGCCAGAGTCACTTAACAACCATGTTACTTACTTAACAACTGCAATGACAGTTGTCTAACAACTATGGCAAGAAAATCATAAAATGGTGCAAAGTGACAGTTATTTACTTAACAGCTGTCTCGCTTAGCAATGGAAAATTTTGGATTCAATTATGGTCGTAGGTCAAGGTATACCTGTAAACCAGTGTTTTTCAACCTTTTTTGTGCAAAGGCACACTTTTTTCATGAAAAAAATCACGAGGCACACCACCATTAGAAAATGTTAAAAAAAATTAACTGTGCCTATATTGACTATATATAAAGTAATTTTCCCACGGCACACCTTACACTATGTCACGGCACACTAGTGTGCCGCGGCACAGTGGTTGAAAAACACTGCTGTAAACACAAACAGTAAAAAATACAGGGTAAATCATTTTCTTTGAGCAAAACACATCCTCATTCTCATTATTCTGGTTCTACTATCATGAATTATTCAAACTAATAATGCCACAGCTTTGTTCCTCTAGCAAAGCTGTGAGCTAATGCAATTAAAAAGGAGAAGCCAGATCAGAGGTAACTCTGTCACAGGTCAGAATTCCTCCTCAGGCAGTGGGCCCCAACCAGAGGTGGGTTCCTATCAGTTCGGTTGAACCAGTAATGGTATGCGGGCCTGGGTTGCAGAACTGGCAGCAACCCAGGCTAGCCACGCCCCCGAACTGGTTCCCTGGTGTCTGCCGTCACCATCTTTTTTCAATTTATGTTGAACTGCGCATGTGCGCACACAAGTGAACTGGCAGAAACGCCGGCTGAAACCCACCCTTGCCACTAACCTTTTGGGCACTAGGGACCGGTTCTGTGGAGAGTGGTTTTTCTGTGGACCAGAACAGGCGTGGTTTCGTATGCTGCCTACATCCCGTGGATGGGGCTTTGCTTGTTTGCATAGCCAAGTTTCTGGCATGCCATGGACCAGTGCTGGGACAGGGGTTTGGGACCCCTGTCCTAACTAGGTCCTGTGGAAAACTCTACATTTTTTCATGTGACGTGGTATAATTAAATTAAAGTTATGATCTGCTGTTTGTAAGCTGGAATCCAGATGAGATGGGGATAGCAGACTTCCTAGCTTCTGTATTAGTATCTTCAGTCCTCTAGAAATATTACACCAAAGTTGTGGAATCTGAAGAACAGGATAGGACAGTGATGACTAACCTTTTTGTCCTCGTGTGCTGAAATTATGTGCGTGACAGCGCGCGTGCACATGTCCACACTCATAATGCAATGCACTCCACCCCCCGGCGCATGCACACACAACCCTTGTGATCCCCTACACATGTGTGCTACCTCCACATTCCCCCCATTCATGCATGCACGACCCCTGACCCCCGTGCATGCACACAGCTGGCTGGCAGGAGCCACACGCATATGCATGGTGCAGGTGAGCTGGGCGATGGCTTGCGTAACCTCAGAGAGTTGACACACATGCCATAAGTTTGCCATCATGGGGATAGGACATGGTATACAGACAAGGAAAATTCCTAAAAACTAGAAGGAAACAAGCACCTTAGATGTTTTTGAATAAAACTGTTTTCTGTAAGTTTGGTTACTTGGTGGTTTATTTTATAGTGTGTATGTATAGCTTGCCCCGCACAAAATAGAATTATAAATGAAACAAAAGAATAATGTTAAAAATACCAAAAAAAACCTCAGTAGTAATAAGAAATCAGCCCTCTCCCAGTGGCAGCAACATTTTGATAAGAGTTAAATAGAAAGGTTGATTAAATAAAATAATCTTTTAAAGATTTTCTGGAAACCATTAGGAAGGGAGCTTTACAGACTAGAGACTGGTAGCCTGATATGACTAATATATGAACAGAATAAGTTAACAGTCCAGAAATAATATGCTTATCATAGCCTCACTGAGTACATGTTAGAAGAAAGTGTATGTGTGTATTGGAGCATATTGGCCTGGTCCCTGCAGTCTTGTTGGCAAAATTTCAGAAGTGGTTTGCCATTGTCTGCTTCCTAGGGCTGAGAGAAAGGGACTGGCCGAAGATCACCTAAGGCAGAATCAGAATTCACAGTCTCCCAGTTTCTAGCCTGGTACCTTAATCACTCCACCAAACTAGCATTCATTAGAAAGTCAATTTAAAATCAATATCAGTGCATACTCTCTTAAAGAATAAATGCCTTATTTCTTAAGCCTTTGATCATTCTTAATTTTTCTTTGCTTTCAAAAGGTGGTTGTGGAACTGGGCAAGTCTGAACAGTTGACCTCAAAAAACTCAGTTTCACAAAACAATGCTTTCAGAGAAGATGAGTTCCAGAAATACCCTCCCCTGTTTTTCAAAAAGCCAAAACCTGACTACAGTGCAGGAAAAAAATTGCACAGAGGCACATATCCCGTTTTGCTCTGGTGGTCTCCGCTCACGGGAGAATCTGGACGGCAGGCTCAGTGTGGCGAGGATGTTTGCTTCTTTACCATCAACAGGACTTACCAACACAATCCTATCACTAAAGCCTTTCTTTTTTACGGTAAGGGACTGGCTAAAGTTTTGGAAAGGTTATTGAGTAATCTCTTGCTCCCCCTTTTCTTGTGTAATTTACATATTTATTTGGGCATGCAGAAAAAAAGTGGAACCAACTGGGAATATGGTGATTTATATTACAGGTATCCCTTGACTTATAATTAGGACAGGTTTTCTGATCATAAGTCATTGTGGTAATAAGAGGAAGGACCAATGTGGCTAGACCTGACTTTTTTGCATGTAGTACAAAGCCATTCTTCTGTGTGGGTGTTTTTTTTTTGCCAGAAATTAATTTAAAAATGCCAGAAACTTGCATGAAACATAAATCATGGTCACGTGATTGTGGGACACTGCAACCAGTCATAAATATGAGCCAGCCACCAAGTGCCCGAAAAAGGATCATGTGATCTTAGGAGGTTGTACCACATTTTACTATGGCCAGAAGTGTTTTATGGGTTGTACACCACCAGTCCAAGCCCACCTTAATTTCAAGTGGTCATTAAGCAACTATTTTAAGTCAAAAACTACCCGTACAGATACTTCCTCTCTCCTATTTCTTATTCCCCATCCTGAAAAATCAACATTTCATGGCTACTGAGCATGCTGTATCCTGATTGGGTAATTTCCAGATTTCTTCCTCCTCTTAGTTTCCCCCCCCCCCAAATGAATTTTTGTTCTGCTTCGAATCTGTCATTCTGATGCCATTTCCAATTTTCTAAAACAGTTGTATCTTGGTAATAAGTGGCTTTGAAACCCGTCGAATTTGGTACTCAACACATTTAGATGTGAAAATTTCATCCCAGTGCTCATTGTTTGTTTGGTAGTCGACTCACAAGCTAGAATTTGTCAACGTTGGCTGCCTTGTGATTCGCTACATTATTCCTTATAGGAAAATTTGTTTGGTACTCGTTGTTTTTGGAACTCATTGTGCCTCCTGGAACCAATTAACGATGAATACCAAGGTACCACTGTATTAGTATGAATGTTACAATTGGAGAATATCTGCATTATTGGCGATGACCACATTACCTTGAAATAATGACTATTTATATTATTGAAGAAAGTGAAACTAAGTCCATTGAATTTAATTAAAAGGAATTTGTTATATTTTTCAACATCTAGGTACTGATTTCAGCATACACAGCTTACCTCTGCCCCGTGCAGACTACCATGACTGGGCTCTTTTTCACGAGGAGTCCCCCAAGAACAACTACAAGCTTTTCCATCCTCCTGCCATCACTTTGTTCAACCACACAGCCACTTTCAGCCGCCACTCACACCTACCGCTTACCACCCAGTATCTTGAAAGTATTGAGGCCTTGAGGTCCCTGAAGTACACAGTTTCTTTGCAAAAAAAGAACAGCTTGCGGAAGAGCCTTGCGCCTCTGGTCTATGTACAATCTGATTGTGACCCTCCCTCTGATAGAGACAACTACGTAAAGGAGCTGATGGCTCACATTGACATTGATTCCTACGGGGCTTGTTTGCATAATAGAGACCTTCCAGATCATCTCCGAAATCCATCCGCCATGGACAGCGATAGTTTTTACAAAATACTCGCTCAGTATAAATTCGTCCTGGCTTTTGAGAATTCCGTCTGTGAAGATTATATCACTGAAAAACTCTGGAGGCCGCTGAAGCTGGGAGTCGTGCCTGTTTATTATGGCTCTCCCACTATACAAGACTGGCTTCCAAGCAACAAGAGTGCCGTTCTCGTCACAGATTTTCCACACCCAAAGGACTTGGCTCAGCATATCAAAGCTTTGGATGCGGATGACAAGAAATATATGGCCTACCTTGAATGGAAGTTGAAAGGTGACATTTCCAACAGGCAACTGCTTGCTGTTATCAAAGAACGCACATGGGGAGTGCAGGATATCATGAAAGACAACTACATAGATGCCTTTGAGTGCATGGTGTGCACCAGGGTATGGGAAAATATCAGGAGACAAGCAAAGGTAAGTATAAATATGTCTCTCCATAGGGATATGTCGTCATTAAGTCAACTGCTTTCTTTTGATTCTCAAGCAGAATCAGTGTAACAGAGGCAAATAATTTTGCAGAATTACAGAGTTCCTACAGAAATAAGATGTGGCTTCAAGAGAGGTCCATGAGTCATTCTGTGATCCATAAATGTTGAAAGAAGATAGAGCACATTGACTTCAATAGCAATAGTACTTAAACTTATATACTGCTTCATGGTGCTTTACAGCCCTTTCTAAGCAGTTTACAGAGTCAGCATATTGCCCCCAACAATCTGGGTCTTCATTTTACCCACCTCGGAAGAATGGAAGGCTGAGTCAGCCTTGAGCCTGGTGAAATTCGAATTGCCAAATTGCAGGCAGCTGCAGTCAGCAGAAGCAGCCTGCAGTACTGCACTCTAACCACTGCGCCACTGCAACTTCATCTTACTTTCAGGTCCATTATTTTCTCTGCTCTCCCATCTTCTTGGATGTACATTGAGGGGTAAAATGTCCCTTGTTCATATTTCTAACGTACATTTAAGTTACCTTTATACATTCTAGACCAGGGGTGTCAAACTGGATTTCATTGAGGGCCGCATCAGTGTTGTATTTGACCTCGGGCGGCGGGGTGGGGGTGGTCAGTTATACATCACTCATGTCAGGGTGACCCTGTGGGTCAGATCTAAGTATCCCATGAATCCCATGATTCAATATTTCAATTCCCTTCAAAGGATCCTTCAAAACCAGCTCCAAGTCATTTTCTCCCACAATCCTTTTGTCTTGTTTTATATCTATTTAGTATTTCAAGAACCAAAATAAACAGAAGAGGGGGACACTAGGGCAGTCCTATCTTATTCCTTTTTGTATTTCACATGGATCTGCTGGTTTTCTATTATCAATAATTTTGTGCTTTCAGTGAAGTATAAATATATTTTATCCATTTTATTCTTTTCCACATTCAGTGAAATGTAACTTCTGAAGATATGATGTCCCCAATTAAACAAGCCCTTAGATAATTAGCAGGTTCAATTATTGCCAGAACATTGATTTCAAAACAGAGATGCAGAGAATTTAAAAGGACACAATTTGAACTGGGTCACTAAAGGTAAAGGCTTCCCTGTTCAATCAGGGCCAGTTCAAGGGTGCGGTGTTAATCTCTTTTTCTTGGCCGAAGGAACCAGCGCTATTGGAAGACGTTTTCCATGGTCATGCGGCCAGCATGGCTATATGCCAAAGGTGCATGGAAAACTGTTACCTTCCCATCAAAGTGGTACTTATTAACCTACTTGTATTTGCATGCTTTCAAACTGCTAGGTAAGCAGGAACGGGCGTAAAGAACAAGAGTTCATCCCGTTGTGTGGTGCTTGGGTCTTGAACCCGGGTTGTCAGATTTCCAGCTGACAAGCTCAGCGTTTTAATCATTGCGCCATTGCGCCCCTTCACTAGGTCACTAAGCTGCCTACATCACTTTGTAGAATTGCCTACATGTAATTCCATCTCAATCCTCTTTGTTGGATTCTGAGTCTGATCTTAGCACTTAAACTGAATATTGGGATGATCTGATTTGAAGAAAAGTTTATACCTAAATAAAGTATAACTATGCTGTAAAGTTTAAACTTTACTGTTCTCTTTTCTGATGTAAAGTTGGTTTTTAATTTAGAATATATAGCAAATCTCTATACAGAATATGATCAAAAGTATAAATTCAACTCACTTCTGCAGTTCAGTCATTTTGAGAATGTTTAATGAAATATTTTGATTGTAATGGGCTAGAGTAATTAATCTTGTTCTTCTGTCACCAATGTTGGAATCTTTTAATGGAATCCATCAGTTCCCTCATTTCTTTTGAGTATTTTCGTTCTGGCTTTTATGGAGTCTTCACTTAGGGAGAAATTATTTCTTTCGACACTATTTTATTCTAAAATAATAATATTGTTTTAAAATGTCTATGAATTCTGCTACTGAGTTTTTTAAAAGTTAAAAATGGTTAATTATTTTTCAGTGGCATGACTAATCGCCATCAACATAATTTAGATTTAAATTTAATCTTTTAAAGTTACATTGAGTGAATCGGTACCTCTTGTTCTCCAGCACTGAACTCAACATGTGTGTCTTTGTAATATATTAGTATTTAGCAAGTTGGAACCAAACTGTATTCTGCCTGAACCCATAAAAACCATGCTATCAGAATCGGTAGAACAAAACTCTGGCAATTTGTTTTTTTTTCATATAATTTTATTAAGGATTTTAATTACAATAGTACAGTCTAATAAAAACTAAAAGAAACAGAATAAAATGAAAGAGTGACAGGTGCAAAAGAGAAGGAAAAATAATAAAAAGAAAGAAAAATGAAAAGTAAAAATATAGTGAAGAAATATAGAAAATAAATATATAAAGAAGTGACTTTCAACCTTCATCACAACATGCCTAAACAATTTTTGTAGCTCTTCACCTCCTCTTAGTTTTATAACCAAGAATATCTTCATCCCCTACCTGGTGATTTGTAAGTATGTGTCCTTGGAGTTTGTAAGGGATAAAAAGGAAAATGAACATTGAAAAAAAAACCCATTTTGGAAGTTATATTTCAGGGATGTAACAAGTGCTTTAAACCTCTGTAAGAATTAAAGTACTCATTTTGCCAATTTATCACACACCATCACCACCACCCAAGGAGGGACATGTTGGCTCAGTAGCTAGGACGCTGAGCTTGTTGATCAGAAAGGTGGGCAGTTGGGCAGTTTGGCGGTTTGAATCCCTAGCACCACATAACAGAGTGAGCTCCTGTTACTTGTCCCAGCTTCTGCCAATCTAGCAGTTCGAAAACATGTAAAAATGCAAGTAGAAAAATAGGGACCACCTTTGGTGGGTAGGTAACAGCGTTCCTTGCGCCTTCGGCATTTAATCATGCCAGCCACATGACCGCAGAGATGTCTTCGGACAGTGCTGGCTCTTCGGCTTTGAAACGGAGATGAACACCGCCCTTTAGAGTCAGGAATGACTAGAACATATGTGCAAGGGGAACCTTTACCTTTTACCACCACCCAAAGTGCAGAAAGAAATGGAAAAATATTGACTGAGGGCTATTGGTGAAGTGCTGGAAGTACATACCTCAGAGTACCATCCCTGATTTGGAGGTATTCTTATTCTTTCTCTCCTTCTCATCTTAACAAAACATAACAAACCAGAAAGTGGGCAAGGTGCCATTGCCAATGGATCTCAAAATTAATATAGATGCAAAGCAAATATTAAATGAGAGCTTACAACAATGATCCATTGTATCCATGTAAATTTTGAGATTTATTGGCAATGGCACCTTGCCCTTTTTCTGTTTTGTTTTGTTTTGTAAGATGAGAGGGAGAGAAAAAATAAGATTTGTGTTCTACCAACCCTCAAACCTACCCATCCATGCTCTTGGCAAACATCTTTGTCAGGTGTTTTTGTTTTTGTTTTTTGTTTTGGTAAGATCAAGACACTCTTGACTCCAGATAATTCCAGGACAACCCCTGCAGTTTTCTTGGATGTGGTTTACCATTGCCTCCTTCCTAAGGTTGAAAAAAAGTGACTGGCCCAAGGCCATCCAGCTGGCTTTGTGCTTAAGATAGGATAGATTTCCCATGCCTTAACTGCTACATCAGGCTGGCTTTCTTGTCTTGTTTATTCATTATTTTTTAATGTAAGATATTATCAGTTGGTTCATTTGTCCATTAGACACTGAAGCTAAATTCTATATTGTGGTAGGTCTAGAACAGTGGTCACTGACTGGTGGTCCATGAGCCACTAGTGGGCTGTGAGAAAATTTTGGTGGTCCACAGAAAAATTATTTGCATTTTTTATATTGCACTAAATCAGTGGTCCTCAAACTATGGCCCCTGGGCTGGATACATGCAATGAATGTTTGTGTTGCTGCAGAGAGTCTCCCCCTTCTAGGTCTTTTTGTACGGGTCAGAGGGGGGCAGAAATTCCGACTTGGGGTGTGCTTCAGTCTCCTGGTGTGGGGATTTTGGCGAAGCCGTATTTCAGAGGGCCTTGTTCCAGTGGGACTGCATCATGGCCTGGAACTGGCTGGCCATCTCAGCCCACTGAACCTCCAGGTGCCGGTACCTGGCCTTGCACTCGCGCAGATCTTCCCTCTGCTTTGAAGCCTATGCTCATAGTCCTCAGTGAGGTGTTTCTACTGAGCCTCCTTTTCAGTCAGATCCAATTTGAACTGAGCCAGCTGTTTTGCCAACTCTTTCTCATGGTGACTGTTTGCTCCAACAATTGCTTCTTGTTGGGGCCCTAAGGAACCTGGGTGGGCAGGCAAGGAGTGGCTGGGAGGGGAGGGGGGAATAGAGGCCCACAAGGCATCCTCGAATGACGTTGAGTTGGCCACACCCACCCTGTCACATGACCACCTAGCCATGCCTACCCAGTCATTAGATCATATTAGTGGTCCGCGGGATTTAAAATTATGAATTTAGTGGTCCCTGAGGTCCAAAAAATTGGTGATTCCTGGCCTAGAAGACCAGAATACCAAGTATTTGAAATGGGAGAATACCAACCTTCATGTCTTAAGCCCTACAACAAATAAACACAGATTGTGTTTTTATCTTTTTATCAGGGAATGCCACCAAGAAGATGGAAGGCAAAAGCAAACCATCTGAGCTGCCCCAGTCCTCAAGCATTTGCCTTTTCTCCTCTCTCTGTGCAGAGAACTGTTCTCCAGGACGTGTGGAGATCAAGCTTTGAACAATCTAAGAGAGAAGCTCATGCACTGCAGCAGCTGGTACAAAGGAATATCAATTTCACATACCAGGCATTTTGGTCTATGGTTTGGAGCCGTTTACCTTGAGTTTGTATCTATTTTTTGCCCATGTATTATTGAGGCTGAAATTTAAGTAGTCATTGACAGGTAGGACATTGTAGCAGACAATTTTGTGCACTGTGCTTAGATGTGAATTGTAAAAGTGCTGGCACCATTATAGAGAGAAGGGATCCCTTGGGTGCAAATGCTTTGGCAGTATTAAAAGGCGATAAGCTTCCATACCCAAAAAGTGTCTTTCTGTCGATTACATTCCTGCTGACTGTACATTTTGTCCACAAACAAGCAGCTACTCACTCGCACGGAAAGGCAGAGTACCTGCTACTGGTCACTCTCATTGGAAAGCCCTTAGAGAAAGAGGGGGGGGGGGGCATTTCTGCTGCATCTCTCTATATTGCCAACTTTCTCAACATCAGCAGTTTTAGTTAAAACTTGGCAGCTTGAAATTTCCTGACATAGTGTATGGATGTAAAATGCATTAGCGTTTGGCACTCGTATGCTGACATAAAAATAAATATTCTAAATATCCTGGTTTGCCCATCACCCATTTTCAAAACCAGGAACATTAAAAGCTATGTCACAAAAAGAAGTGCCACAGTCCAAAACATTAGGAATCCCTCCCCATTACTTTCTCCAAGCATCAGCATCTTTACAGTGCTACTGCATTTACAATGTATTGCAATGCCATCCTGCTTAATTCACCAAGATCTGTTCTTAGTCAAGTCTATGCAGGATTTCAGGATTCCACATGTCAACATAAGACATTCAGTAATTGCTTGTTAATTGAAAGAGTACTTATGTCTTACCATAGCAGCTTCGATCTTCGGCAACAGAGCAAGGATGAAGGTGACACTGTGCATTTCTGTCCTTAAAGTGCCCTGCTGGTTTTCCAGAGGAGGGGAGGCAGT